CAGCTGCTGTGCGCAGGGAAGGGGAAGGGAGGGGCCCAAGTCGTGGGAATCAGCGACCGGGGCCCACTGATAATTATAGCTGGCCCCTCCTGGACCGTGGGCGGCGGTTGCTCTTAGGTGGGAAAGGAAGTTGGTGTCCTCTCTCCAGCCCTGTCCTGTCCCCAGAGAGGAGGCAGGCCCCCAGAGGCCTTGCTTGCCTGGTCGTGGTGCTGGGGGCCGTGAATCCTGAGTCGGGGGTTTCTCCCGGGACGGCTGCTGAGGGGCTGGGCTCTCTCCTTGCTAGGCTCTGGGCCAGGCTGCTGAGCAACACTGTTGCACGCACGTGTGCACGCATGTGTGTACGTGTACCTCCCGGGCATCACGCTGACGGAGGTCATGGCTTGGGCAGAAAGGCCTGCGGCCCCACGGAGAAGGAGGGCAGGACCCCAGGAAGGGCTGGGAAAGGCTCCCGGGGTGGTGGTTCTGGAGCCGGGCTGTGAAGGATGAGAAGAGAAACCAGGTGCCAGGGCTCATGGATTCTCACCTGATGGCCGAGCTCCTCGGCCGCCTGTGGGACACGGGCTCGCCCTGAATGCAGAGGCCGAGAGGCCGGAGGGGGAGAGGGGACCCGGCACAGTCATGGTATCTTGGGGCCCTCGGGAGGGTGGCACCAGGAGGCTTCTGCCTGCAGGGGGCTCAGGGACGTCCCATTTGGTTCAGGGAGTGGCAGGAGGGGGATGCTGGGGCAGGAGAGGCCCGGTCCCCAGCTTGGCTGGGAGGATGGTAGGCTTGGCTTCTGTTCCCTGCCTTCGGGCCTCCAGACCTGACTCCATCTGGGAAAGGACATGTTTCGGGCCCTTGGTGTCATCCTACTCAGTGATCAACATGCCCCTCTGGGCTCAGTCCCGCGTGGAGCAAGACAGTGGAGGCCCCTGGGGAGAGCCGATGGGAGGTGGGCCTGTGGGAGGCTGCTGGAGCTGTGGCTGCCACCCAAACCAGGATTCAAGGACAGAGAGCAAGGAGGCTCAGCCCCCACCTTGCTACGGACTTGGTGTGTGACCCCGGGAGAATAGCTGTTCCTGTCTGGGCCCCTGTTTCCCTACGAACCATGGGGAGACTAGTTGGGGCTGGGGGAGCCTCTGCGGTAAGGTCTGGGAGGGGAGGCAGCCTCAACGACCCACACCCACCGTGACAGTCAAGCAGGTTAGTGCCGCGGTGGCCCAGAGGCCTGGCGGATGCATAGCAGAGTGTGGTCAGGGCCCGGGGGGCGGGGGGGGGGGGGAGGAATGGTCCGCAGAGCGTGGGGAGCCCTGCCACCAGGCCACCTCGATGGCAGACCTCAGTGCTACTGCCCTACATCTAGGACAAACGCGGCTTCGTGTGCTATCCCGGCCATCGAAAGGGGTCGAGGACTTTCTTGAAGAGGATTTGCTTGTGCTGCCACAAAGTACGGGGGGGTGGGGGGGTGGGGGGGGGGTGTCTGGAGAGGTGGGGTAGGGGGACACAGGAGCAGAGATCTAGGCTCCTCAGGGAGCTATGTCTCCCCTGCTGGGGGGGGTCTGGGCCCACCGGTGGGTGACAGCCCACCAGGCCCCACCCGGGCTGTTGTGGAGGTGAGTGACAACACTGCAACCTGTGTGCCCCAGTGAGCGTGCCCTGAGGCCAGCCCCTGCACTTCTCTGAGCCTCAGTTTCCACATCTCTAAAATAGGAATGTTTCTTGACTTGGGGGGCTGCTGTGAGACTGTGCACACACGGTGGGCCTCCCCCGGGGGATGCCTCTGCAGGTGGGAGTCCAAGTAGCCTATAGCTCTGCCCCGCTCCTCCTCCCTGGCTGGGAATGACCCACCCTTCTGAGGCGCCCCTCCTCCGAGGGAATCCAAGTAAGAAACCGTCCATACAAGCTCCATTCATTTCGAATCACTCATCTACTGTCGGTGGTACCCATAACAGCATAACTTGAAACACATCCAAAGCTGCACCCGGAGAAAGAGTCTTAACTCTAGAGAGCTCTGCAGAACTGGGCATACGTTGGGGCAGGGGGCATGTTGGAGGCAAGAGGGGAGCTGGGTGGAGCCAGGAGTTGGGGGAGCAGGAGCAGAGGGAGCAGGAGGGGAGCAGGCCCAGGCCCGAGGGCCCCTCGGGCACCTGCTCCTGGTGCATATAGGGCCACAGACGGCGCAGCACCCCCTGCCCCCATCCTGTCCACACCTCATTCTCCCTGGCGCCCCCGCCCAGGTTTGGGAGCGCAGCTGGCCCTGTACGTGGTTGTTCATACTTGTGCGCACACCCACATCTGTGTGCGGCAGTGAGGGTGTGCAACAGGCTCTTTCCAACCCCCTCCCCTGCCTGCCCCTCCTGGGCAGCACGCCCAGTTCCCAGAAGCAGCCTGTGCACTTCCTCTGAGAGCTCCATGCACACCGCTCCCCTCCCGCAACCGGGCCAGCAGCCTGGCCCACCTGGCCACCCGGCCCCAGGCGGCAGCACCAGAAAACCCTCCTGTCCCGCCCTGGGGGTGGGGTGGGGGGTGGCTCAGTTACACTTGGTCCTGGAACAGCTTTTCCAGAGTCTGGGTGGGCTGAGCCAAGGGCCTGGCCTCTGCGCTGCACACACACCTCCACACTGCTGCTCCCCAGGGGATCCCTAGGGGCAGGACAATCTACTCGGACTCCTTGCCCTGGATGCCTCCATGGTCCTGTTCTCTCAGACGCCCCAAGGCCGCACTCAGCTAAATCAGGGGCCCCCCTTACAGGTCCTCCTGCCCCAGCCCAAGTCAGACTCCCACCTCTTGTCCGGTCTCTGAGAGCGCCTGTGCCGGGCAGGCGGGGTGAGAGGTGTGGGAGCCGCTGGCCCTGCGGCCTCTGTGCTCGCCTGGACTCCTGCTGCTCCCCGAGCCCGGCTGCCAACATGGGCTCGAACCCAGTCTCTTCCGCCGAACCCAGTCTCTCCCGCCATGTGTCCCTCTGCCCAACGCCTCCCAGGGGGCTTCCCAGGGTGCTCGACTCCCAGGCCTCATGACCTAGATGCTCTGGGATGCTGACAAATGCAGGGAAAGCATCCCCTCGGGCCTCACTCTGGTACCTGAAACCTTTAGGGCCTTTGGGGCTTGGGGTGTCCAGGAGGGACGGGAGTGATGCCTTCCTCAAGTGGGGCCTGACCCCGTGCAGAGAGCAGGACATGGGGCTGAGCCAGGCCGGGGGGACGGGGGTGGGTGGGTGGGCAGAGAGGGCTCGTTGGAGGGGGAGGCTCCAGCTCTCCATACCCTCCGCATTCCCAATTCTTCGCAAGGGCAGAGGTGGGCTCAATGTGACAACCCCCTGCTGCCGTGCTGCTCCCCTGCCTTAACATCAGTGGCTCCCATTGCCAGGAGGCACAGGTTTGGGCTGTATTCCGATCTTTAAGGATTCTGTGCCCTGGCCCAATGGCTCCTCCTGGCTCGTGCTCACGATACATCTTCTAACCAGGCTGCTGGGTTTCCCATCTCTACATGCTCCTCCCGTATCCACCCCAGTGCCTTTGCTCAGGCCGAGCTCCTGCCTAGAGTACAGACCCCCTTCCCGTCCTCCAAGGCTTGGCTCCGGGATCACCCTCCGGCCTGCCCCAGCTCGCCTGTCAACATCTCTTCTCCATACTCCTCATCTGGATCTTTGCAGACATGATAGGAGTTGCTGTGTGGGTTTTAATTTGCCTTTCTGCCTCCGGAATGCATGTACGCTCAGCCCTTCCATTTCTGTGTGGGCAACCCCTCGTTGCCCAGCACAATGCTCGTACAGCGTGGATGCTGAGAAGATATTGGAGAGTGGCTTCCCGTCGAAGCCCAAGGAGAGGGGGTGCTGGAATCGCTCGGCTGGAGCCTGCAGGCTGCCTAAGCAGCCCACTCCGGTCACCTCAGATGGCCCCTGCCCACCTCTCCAGAGGCCCAGCCCATCACCCAGGCCCCGACACTTTGAAGGAAGGGGTCCCTGGGAAGAGGAGCAGAGAGCCTGGGGATGCAGCTCTGACTCACCCCAGTAGGGGGTCCCCCCTGACTCATTTCCCTCTGGGTACCTCGTGATGCTGTCCCTTAGAGCTGGCTTCCCCATAGGACGTGGAGAAGGGTGTGGCCGGGCCCCTGGAAGGGAGACTCCGGCCCTTCCTCTGCTCAGAGTTGCTTTTGGGAATGGTCCCGAAAGATGGAGGCTGGAGCACTGATTCATACTTGGGCAGTAGTGACTGATGAGCCCTGAGGCCGCAGTTCCTAGGGCATAGGAGACCCTGCCTTGCCTCTGGGAAGAAGGCTGCCCTGGAGGGATCTGGGGAGTGTAACACAGAGACGCGTCCTAGTGCCCTTGGAAGGTCAACTGTCACCCAGTCTCTGCTGGGGTCAAGCGCCAACGCCCAGGGCAGGGAAGCGTGGCGCGGGTTGCCCAGGGCTGTCTGAGGGACCCTCTGAAGGTGCCAGGAGGCTGAGGAGTGGGTGCTCCTGGCTGTCACCAAGCAGGCCTTCTGGGTCAGCAGGGGAGGGAGGGGAGTCAGGAGCTGGAGAGGACAGCAGGAGGAAGGTGGGGAAGGGACTGTACCGACCTGCCCGGGACACACAGGGGGCAGGGGAGGCTGCAGGCTGGGGCCCCGCGGGGCCCTGTGTGGGTGGGGCAGGGTGGCCCCCTCTCCGGTTCCTGCCTCAAGCACAGCGGTTCCTGGCCTGGGCGGCTGAGGCTGGGCTGCTGGCCGCTTGCTGTCCCCGGGCGTCCTTTGGACACCAGCGCCTGCACCTGAAGCCTCGAGGAGTGGGGAGTGGGGAGTGCAGCGGGGGGGGGGGGGCGCCCCTGAAACCCACCGTCTTGCACGAGCCACACCCTGACCTGGCAGGCCAGCCTCGGTGGGCCCATGGGAGCCCCGCGGGACTGCCTGCATCCTGGGTGGGACCCCTGTGGCCGGCCTGGGGTGGCAGCCGCGCGGCCCCTGCCCTCACCGGGCGCCTCCGGGCACTTGGGTGCCCTTCCCTGCCGCCCAGCACCCGCTCCCGCCGCAGCCCCTACTCACCCGCAGAGGAGGCGCCGGCCCACAGAGCCAAGGCCAAGGCCAGGGGCAGCGCGGGGCCCGGGGGCGCAGGCGGCTGACCCCGCATCGCGGCAGGTCGGCGGGGCCGGTCGGAGCCGGAGCGCGGGGAGCCCACGGAAGGCACCACCGGAGGAGGCTGCTGCTGCCACTGGGGACTGGGGCGGGTGCTGGGGCCGGCGGGGCCGCCTTCCTCGACTCGGGGGCGGGGCAGGGCCAGCCCGCGCTCCGGTTTCAGGACGGCTCCCCCGCGGCCCCCTCGCCCCCAACTTCCTTAAAGGGCCCGAGCCGGGCTGCTCCGGGCTGCTCCTCCCCGGGCAGGGCTGGGATGACCCCGCCAGCTCGGTCAGCCCGCGGCCCACCCTGCAGACCTGGCACCAAGCCCCCGGGGAACCGGACCCGGCGCTCAGACCCCAGGGCTCCCGGAGACCTGCCCCCGGGGGAGAGCCGAGCTGCGCTAGCCCCTCACTTCTCTCTCCTGCCCTCGAGAGGCCTGGGGTGCATGTGTGCGTGCGTGTGTGTGCCTGTGTGTGTACTCGCTCCACGCCCAGGAGGACAGCCGCCTACGGCTACACAGACTGCTTTGGGCTGCTTTACTCTAAGGTCTCCTGGGGACTGTATTTGGGCAGAGAGCACTGGCCTGAGGTCCTGCACTGCTGTGTCCCCTGGCATCGTGACCTTGGCCCTCTGTCCTGCAGAGCCTCTGCTCCCTGGTCTGTAAAGGAGAGATGTTCTAGACTCTCCCGCAAGGCAGGAGGGATTCTCAACCCCATAGTGTCATTTGCCTCAAAATAACCCTGTAAGATGGGTGCAGGGACCCTTTCCCTCCCCCGCTCCCCACCGCCCCATTTTATGGGTGCAGAGCTGGAAATGGTTCTTACAAAGGCCCAGGTGGAGTATAGGTCCCTGGCCCTTCGGGACTAGGACCCCTGGCCTCCTAACTCCTGAATCCGGGTGTTTGGGCTTCCCGGGGCTGCCTCCTGGAAATCTGGCCCTGGATTAGCTCCTACCTAACAGCTTCAGGTTGGGGCTCTACTCCTCGTGACTCCCTCCTAGGCAACAGCATCTCCCTTGGCCCGAACAGGAGGAGAAAGGCCAACACCCCTGCAGGACTGCCCGCGCATCCCCCGAGTCGCAGCATGGGCATCGTCTAGTCTCGGCATCTCTGCCCAGGAGGCAGGTGGAAGAGCGCCCCTAGAGTGCTTTCCCCTCCCTTCTCTCGTCATTGCCCCGCTTTCAGGGGCGCCTGGGTGGCTCAGTGGTTGAGCATTCACCTTTGGATCAGGTCATGATCTCAGGGTCCTGGGATTGAGTCTCAATCAGCTCCCTGCTTGGTGGGGAGCCTGCTTCTCCCTCTCCCTCTCCCCCTCCCCCCCCCCCCCCCCCGCCCCCGGCTCATGCTCTCTCTCAAATAAATAATAAAATCTTTAAAAAAATCTCTCTTTCACACCTGCCTGTTTCAGCCCACCCCAACTCCACCCCACGAGCACTCTCTTCCCAGCTCCTCCCCACCTTAAAACTTTTGAAATTAATTAATTAATTTTAAGATTTTATTTATTTATTTGAGAGAGAGAGCACGCACAGACAGGGGGAGTGGCAAAAGGAGAAGGAGAAGCAGACTCCCCACAGAGCGGGGAGGGCAACAGTGCTTGACCCCAGGGCCCCCCTAGATCATGACCTGAACTGAACATAGATGCTTAACCGATGAAGCCATCCAGGTGCCCCTAATTTATTTTTTATTTCAGATCTAAAAAAAAAAAAATCATAATCAACATATACTGTTATATCAGTTTCAGAAGTAGACCATAGTGACGTATGCATCACAAAATGCTCACCTCAGTAAGTGTAGTTACCATCCATCATCGTACAAAGTTGTCATATTATTATTATTTTTAAGATTTTTATTTATTTATTCATGATAGACTCAGAGAGAGAGAGAGACAGAGATACAGGCAGAGGGAGAAGCGAGCTCCATGCAGGGAGCCCAACACGGGACTCGATCTCAGGACTCCAGGATCACGCCCTCAGCCAAAGGCAGGCTCCAAACCACTGGGCCACCCAGGGACCCCCAAGTTGTCATATTATTGACTCTATTCCCTATGCTGTACTTTTTATCCCTGTGACGTATTTATTTTATAGCTGGAAGTTTGTACCACTTGATCCTCTTCACCTATTCTGCTCACCCCCCACATTCCCTCCCCTCTGGTGACCCTCAGTTTGTTCTCTGTATTTATGACTCTGCTTCTACGGTTGCTGTTTGTTTGTTCGCTTGTTTTGTTTTTTAGGTTCCACTTATGAGCCAGATGATACGGCATTCACTTTTTTCTGACTGACTTATTTCATTTAGCAAAATACCATCCAGCTCTGTCTGTGTTGTTGCAAATGACAAGATTTCATTCCTTTTGCTGGCTGAGTAATATTTCACTGTGTGTGTGTGTGTGTGTGTGTGTGTATGCGCTGGAGACCCGTGATCGAGTCCCACGTCGGGCTCCCTGCATGGAGCCTGCTTCTCCCTCTGCCTGTATATCTATCTCTATCTCTATCTCTCTCTCTCTGTGTCTCTCAAGAATAAATAAATAAAATCTTAAAAATAAATAAATAAATAAGGAAATACTGATCTTATGCTACTTCTATTTTTAGTTTTTTGAGGAAACACTGTACTGTTTTTTAGAGTGTTTTCTAGAGAGGGGCCTCTCTCTTTGATTAGTGACTATGCCACCACATGTACAACATTTCATAGTGTGCAACAGAATTGAGCCCCATTTGCAGATGAAAAAACTGAGGCTGAGAGAGACTGAAGGCCTTGGGCCGGTCTACATGGCCACGAAGAGGTGGAGCCAGGTCTTTGAGGGCAAGCCCGGCACTCTTACCACCACAGCTAGCGTGCTGGTGTCATGTCTGTGCTGCGTTTGTGAAGCTGATCTCGAACCTGGGCCCTGAGTTTGAAACCCAGCCCTCCTACTTGGCTGTCCAACCTTGAACAAGCTGCTCAGTTTTCTCATTTGCAGAACTGGGTTAGTGAGGATTAAATGCATTCATGTACCTCCTATGCCTCGCCCGGGGCTGGGCATGCAGCAGGCGCTCCACACACGCTTGTCCTTTCTCTTCCTTCTCTGTAGCGCTCCCTCCCTCCTGCCCTTCACAGTTTGTACACAGCTCCACACTCACCACCTCCCCTGATGACAAGTCAGACCCTTGAGGGCTGAACTTTCCCTGCCAGGGGCAGCTGCATGCAGTAGGTGCTCAATTTGTGCACTGGGGCTGACTAAGAAGCCAGTGCTGCTGTTCTGTGGGGATTCTGGCAAAAGGAAGAACTCCCATCTGGTTCACCCTAGGAGGCCTGGGTGGGGCTGTGCTCAGCTCATCTCCGTGGTGGTGGTGGTGGCCGTGGTGGCGGTGGTGATCCAGCCATTGATGCCACAACTTGTCACCGCTTTTCCTTCTCCCGGAGTCAGCAATGCACCTGGTCCTCATTAGGGGTTAATGACTGGCCAAGTGTGGGCCTCGGGTTGGGGTGCTGCTGGGAAGACACTGTTTGGAGGCAAAAAGCTTTCTTTTTAGGAATGAAAGAAGAGAAGACAAGGCTTCCGCTTCTTTATGAATCAAAAACTTGGGTGGAGATTCCCACCAGCCCGCAGCCTGCACCTCCCTTCCTTCCCCCTTCCCATCTTCCCTCCTCCCCGGATCCGACCACGCAGATTCACCAACCACAACCAGGAGTCCTTTCTCGGTGGAGCCTGCAGACCGTTCCTGCCCACAGCCGAGGCTGGAGTTGGGATTAGCTGCAGCCCCTCCTGCCTTGTTGTTCCGCTAGGGAGGGAAACACAGGCCCCAGACAGAAGCCCCCCCCCCCCCACTGCGGGCTTCACCCACACCTGCCTCTGCTGGGGCTCTGGGTTAACAGAGCATTCACCTAGTCTCTTGACACCCCAGACGACCAGGACCTGAGCAGAGCTGACCGGAGCCTCTCTGGCATCCTCCCCGGCCCAGGCCTCCTCCCCTCTGCCTTCCAACCTTTGCCATCCAGTCCTCTGGCTTGGGCCGGCCAGGTGCCTTTGGTGGCTGGCCATCCCTCACTGCCCCTGCCTCCCTGGCCTTATGTCATCCTCCTCCAGGAAGCCCTCCCAGTCTCCCATGCCATCCACAGACACCCTGGAACAGTGATCTCCGGCTTCTCCTCGTGCCTCCTGGGGTACGCCCAGCCGGGTCAGGGGGTGTGACCCAGTGCTTCCCCCGCCTCAGCCTAACTCAGCAAAGCCCGGGGCAGCGCTTGGGGCAGGGGAGGGACACACTGAAGAACGAAGGAGGATGGCCACCACTCAGTGGAGGGGGATTCCAGCGTTCTGAAGCTTCAATGACCTGCGGTATGTGCTGCCTCAGTTTCTCTAAGTGATCTGCCTCTGTGAGAACAAGACAACAGCAGCCTGGCATCATGCACTCCCCCGCCAGGCGAGTTCCGCTGAGATGCTGGCCAGGTGCTCCTGGTCACTCTCACCCTCGGTGCCTCCTGGGTTCAGTGCCGGCTCTGGCAGCAGCCGTGGCTTGGTCCTGCCCCTGGTCAGCACCTGGCACTCCGAGGTCCTCTGTATTTTGCACTCTGACCACATGGGCTCCACCCAGGGAACCTGTGGCCAAAGCCAGCTTGCTGGTAAGTGGCGGGTGCTTATGCCCTGGATGGGGTGGTGTCCGCATTGGGCTTCTAGCAGTCCAGGTCCCGCCCTTAGGGGATTGGCTTTCTGCCACGAAGGACACAGGACCTAGGCCACTCCCATGCAGGGGGACACAGGCTTTGGGCCTTGGTTCCACAGCCCTGCAGTCTCATGGCCAGGGGCTCCCCCGGCGTGGGCTTCTGACCAGGGGCCTCTGCTAGGGGCAGTCTTGCTTCTGTTCCTGGCTGGAGGCATCCACGGGGCTCCTGGAAGGGCAGGCAGCCAGGCATGGGGTGCGGGTCGGGGAGAGGCAGCTATTCCCAACAATTACACAATTCAGGAGCCGAAAAGCCGTGTTTGGCATCCTCAGGACTCAGCTGTGGTTACGAGCCCAGTGGCAGGGCTTTGCCCTCCCTGGGGGTGGGTTTCGAGCCACCCCCAAGCCCTACTGGGGAGATGGGGTGAGGGGTGGTAGGATCCCCTCAGAGTCTCCGATCCCTGGGCAGGCCACACCACGTCCACAAATGCTTGTGGCTCCAGTGGCTCCGAGCAGCTGGCCACAGCTGACTCCCCGGGGGCTGTGCTATTTCT